TTAATTTCGGTCTTTAGCAGAAGTTTAGAGGGCAGTAAATCTACATAATTGTGATAGACAAGTAAATGCTTGGACTGCACAGAAAGGATCTGACCTGAGTTTTAGGGCTAGTACACACCAGAACTGCGTGCTGCAGTGCAATGCGTTTTGCTGCGATTTTACGGCAATTTACGCTATTTTTCTTTGCTTAAAATGGGATTTCAGCATGCGTTTTTGATACATTCCATTGCAATCCGAAGCAACTAAAAAAGGGCAAGCAGTATTTTTTATGACTGCATCGAAAAAGACTGCACTGGTGTGAACAGAGCACCAGAAATTCCATAGGAAAGCATTGCGATTTCATTTTGGATGCAGGTGCCATACTGAACGGACTGCATCTGGTGCGAACTAGCTAGGGCTGCACCAACTAATCGACTAAGTCGATTATAAATGGATGAAGGAAAACGTTGTCAAAGTTTTCCAACATCGATTAGTTGACATTCGATTAGTTGCCCTGCTCACCACATGCCGCTTCTCACACCGCTTTTCCTCCCTGCCTCACTCAGCTCTCAGACCCGCTCGCCAATGGCAGACCTGTCCGCCCGCATCCACGATCGACATGGGGAGACAGCACTGGGACGCAGGGAGAAAATGAAGCAAGGAGGAGCAGGCGTGGGGGGAGGGCAGCCGCCGACAGACAGGCCCATGATCTCGGAACAAAGTTGGGAAACTGCTCAGGTAAAATTGCCTGCACTTTCCCCCACATGGCACAATTCGCTGTATTAATGTATTGCAGGGATAGTGGAATTTGTATTCCTCCATAGTTGATGGTACATTACATATATAATACAGAGCAATGTACCATCAGCTATAGAGGAATACAAATCCCAGCAAAACATACACTGTATGTATGTGGTATTCGGCATTGCGCTGTATAATGTATTATTACTGGGATTTGTAGACGGTGCCATTCTGCATTGATTGCGGTATAATTTTACACTTTCCATTTCACTATATTGCACACCACACTTTTTTTTTAACTTCCACCGCTCCAAGCTTGCTCCCGTAATGGACTACAATCTCAGTACAAACTCAGTACAAACTAGTAGTCCATCACTGGAGCTATTTAAAAAAAAAAATCTGATTAATCGAACTCAATCGGCTAACTAATCGATTTTGAAAATAATCGTTAGCTGCAGCCCCATAACTAGCCCTTAAAGGAGAACTATGGGGTTAGGGCCCATACTTCTCCTAAGGGTAAGCTCAGTATACCGCGAATCCAGCCCCTCCCCTGTCACGGCTCTCTGCGAATACAGCCCCTCCCCTGCCATAGTTCTCCTAAGGCTGGGTTCACACCTAGGCGTATCGAATATGCGTGTTTCGTGACGTGCGTTTTACCGCAATTCGCTGTAAAAAAAATGCACCACAAACGCGCGTTTCCGAGGGCTACTTGGCTGTATCCCAATAGAAACGCACGACAAAGACGCCCCAAAAGAAGCTCCTGTACTTCTTTGGGCGTAGGGCGTTTTGTAGCGCGTTCATACGGCCTGTAATACGCCTAGCTGTGAACCACACCCATAGGAAAAAATGGGATTTTGAGCGTTTTGCAGAGCGTTCGAACGAGCTACAAAACGCCCAGGTGTGAACCAGGCCTTAGGGTAACAGGAGGACACAAACTAGTGTCCTCCTGTCACCCTAAGCTCAGTATACCACGAATCCAGCCCCTCCCCTGTCACAACTCTCTGCCGTGACAGGATCGAAAAGTGAGCGAACGCCGGTATGTGTTCGCTCACTTCCCGATCTACTGAGCCGACCTGTGACAGTTTCATTGTCACAGGTCGGCTAGAACTATGAGGATGAGTGAAAAGCACTCACCTCATAGTTCTCCTTTAAAGCAAAAAAATATGACATCCATACAGCTGCACGCCTCTAACATGTTTTACCACACAGGCATAATCACAGAGGTAACAGCAGTGATGGGAAGGGATCCTTATGTGTCGCTCTAATTGGGGCAACCAGTAAAGTTGATAAGATTAACCCCCACCTAAATATCTCTTTAATGTCTCTATAATTCATTGAAAATTTATTACAGACACATTAATTTATCAAAACAGGAGCCAGACGCACATGGCAACCAATAGGCTTCTATGTTTCATTTTCAAAGCTTAACTGAACAAACTGCAGAGAGAAGCCGATTGGTTACTATGGGTAACTGCTCCAGATTCTGTCTGCTCCAGTTTTGATAAATTCCCACATTTATATGCCTGAGAGGACAGAAACTATCATCTACTATCATACCAACAATCACCCAACTGTAGGAAGCACAAGACGGAGCCCACAAGCTAAGTAAACTGGAGCCTTTCCTCTGCAGTGCCTCTAGTGGCAGAAATGCATACTTCTTTTTAAGTTTGAGAACTGCATTGAGAAGTAGAGTGTTACTTGAATTATATTCCAGGATTTCCTTGTCTTCAGCTGAGAGAATGTGCAATAATTTAAGACTTTACATAAAGTCTCAGAAATCTTTCATTAAGGTCTTCATGTTATATAGTTTAAATACCATGCCAAAAATATATGATCATTGTAACATACTCAATGTTGTTACATATTCAACACTCCTTTTTGTTATTTCAATTTTTCCAGAAAAAAAAAAAAAAAGAAGAAGAACGGAACAAACAAAACAAGTTTTTTTCCCCAATTTTTTTTTTTTACAGCCCTTCCCATCTCTATCTGGTACTTTAGTTTTCTTTAAACGTTATGATGTTTAAATACATGCCTGCTGACTGCTGTTCGTACTGTCCCGAGTTTGTATACTGTACTCTTCATTTGTACAGTTCCTTTTCCAAGATTATACAAAAAGAATATATATATACAGGGCTCGAAAAATCCACTCGTCTACTCGTCTGTGACGAGCAGACTGTGGAGCCCGACGAGCAGCTTCCCGGCCGGCCATTGTAATTACACGGGCGGCCGGGAGCTTTACAGTCAAGCGATCGAGCGTCTCAAGAGACGATGGGTATGATCTCACTTGGGCGTATTTCAGCGTGTCGGAACGTGCTGAAAAACGCCCTATGCCGAAAGAAGTACAGGAGCTTTTTTGTGGCGTATTTCCGCGCGTATCCATTATGATACACCCGGATAGCCCTCGTAAACGCGCGTTTGACGCGCGTTCTGTGGGCTGCAAATCGCGGTTAAAACATGCACCGCAAAACGCGCGTCATACACGCATATGTTACGAACGCCTGGGTGGGAACCCAGCCTAAAGGAGAACTATGAGGTGAGTGCTTTTCACTCACCTCATAGTTCTAGCCGACCTGTGACAATTAGACTGTCACAGGTCGGCTCAGTAGATCGTGAAGTGAGTGAACACATTGTGTCTTGCCGTTACCCTAAGGAGAACTATGGGGAAAATCCCTAACCCCATAGTTCTCCTTTAATCACTGATAACACTAAACTGATGAACAGTAAAAGCGTTTTAATCGTCACCTATGGGCGTTTATTGCGATTTTTTGCGGGCGCACGCAATTTAAGGCTTGACATATTTGGTGTCTATTGACCCTGACTTTTATGTTTTACTAAAAATATGGGTAAGAATAAATGTTTTATAACATAACGTAGGGAAACCTTTTTGTTTTTTTTACATTTATGGTACTTAAAAGTAAAAAATAAAAAAATTGAATAAAAATGAATATATAAAAATATTAAAAAAAATGAGAAAGTTTATAAAAATAAAATACTTGAAAAAATTAAAATAACATTTTCGGTTTCGTTCTGACAATTTAATTTTTTACATTTCTATTTCAGTGCACCTCTAATAAATATGTATATATAAATCTATATATCTATCTATCTATAGGTAGATAGATAGATAGATATATTAGGGATGCACAGATAATTTTCGAGTACCAGTGCAGATACTTGGCAATTTCATGAGAACTACCAGGTTTGCAGCGGTTGCAGCTGGGACCTGGCTCTGGCGCTCCACCACTGTCCTAAAATCATTAGTCTGTATTGTTTTAGAAAAACTGTCTCATGACAATAAACAAAAATGTATCAGTACTCGTACTTGTAAGTACTCGGCAAGTACCAGTACTCGTACTCGCAAAACTGGTATCTGTGCATCCCTTTATTTCTATTTATAAAAACAAAATTGTACATTAAAACATAGATGTACAAATCCCAGGAGCTCCGTGTGCTCCTTACAAATGACAGCTGCCTCCTAACTTTTACATTTTTCTCTAGTGTAGTCTTGGAGCTCAAAAGTATCGGTACATGTACTCATACTTGTACCGAGTACTGTACTTGGTATATATAAATACAAAATCTGAATTCAGCCATGTTGCCTGCTGCAACAAAACATCTAAAAAGGTAGGACATATATTTCCCCTGTTATGCTGTGTGAATGGGAATACATAGAGGGGTTTTCTTGAAATTGACTGCAAAAGTGGAAATACATTTTTTAAGCTTTCACAAAACAATATTTAGAATAGCAAGCAGACAAATATGGTTTAGAAAATTAAAGCTAAACCCAAGGCAAGTGGCCAGGTACACGGTTAAAGCACACGCTTGTAATTTACACACATTGCAAAGCCGGACAAGATACACACTTTCCACACCACACAGCCAGGCGGGAGACAACATAAGTGAAAATTATAATCCACAAACTGGAGCAATATCAACTGTGGTCACTATTCCCCCCTACTGGATTCTCTAAAATGCAAGTTGTGTAGCTGCAAAGATGACCATGTGGTTTTAATACTTTCTTGGTCAAACCCACAAACAAGTCAACAGATCAGGAAGGTTAGAAGACCTTGTCTTTTTACTTTTTCCCCAACTCAGTGACTCAAAATAAATGTAAAAGGGTCAGCATTACAACCTGGTAACATTTTAAGAAGGCGTTAGCAAGAGCCACCTTCATGTTTGTCTCAACAGATTTATTTAATCAATTTTTGAGTTGCACAACTGTTGACATTGCTCAGGAATGCAAATCCTCTGCACAACAAAAACAGTTACAGAGAGCTTACCATCCTCAAATGGAGTTCCTTCAGGTCTAGAAGAAAATTGAATATACAGTGTAAGTTTCCATTTCTTTGAAAATTTGTATATGTTTCATTTATAGAAAAATATACTGCCACCTACAGGAGGTTTAGGACACTGACAAACCGAAAAATTTTCAGCCAGTCCCCACATAACCCCTCCTGTACCCAGCATGATATGAGTGAAAAAGCAGTACCAGGACAAAGCAAAAGCACAGAGCACGTGTGTCCCTCATCAGACTCCAAGGAATCGATTTTACAAATCTCTTATGTTCTTTTTCATTGAGGGACACAGGAATTCAAACAGTTGAGATGTCCAAAAGCAGTCCAACTGAAGTGTAGGCAACAGCCACTGACAGATCTGAGAAAGGACTTGGAACCATCTGAAGTTAACAGCTACCTGAAGGACCAATATTCAAATCTGAACCAGAAAAAGATAAGTTCTCTGCAAGACATGGGAATCCAGTAATGACCAAGTGAAAAACCGGAGGATTAACCTGTTGCTCAAACCAGGGCAGAAGAGATCCCTGTCAGGAAAATTACTTCACCGGAATTGATCACTGAACCCACACAAGCGCGTGGTTGTGAAGCCAAAAACACCAAAACAGGTGGAACATCAAAACTACCCAATGAGGAGAGAAAAGAGAGAGAGAGAGGGGAGGGAGAGAGCGAGGGGAGAAGAGAGAGAGGGAGAGCGAGGGGGGGAGAGGAAGGAGAGAGAGGGGGAGGAAGAGAGAGAAGGGGGAGGAAGAGAGAGTGAGAGATGGGAGAGGGAGAGGGGAAGGAAAGAGAATTCTTGGTCAATAAAAAGGTGTCTAACCTCCTAGAACACCAGCAAAAACAAAATAGACATGTCGGGTAGAGCAGGGGGTTATACAGTGGTTGGCTTAGAATTATTGTGTTTACCAGTGTCCTAAACTTCTTGTAGGTGGTAGTATAACCCAAACTGTTTCTTATTTCCTGAGTCCCTCAATGGATGAGAATGAAAATTATATTGCATACAAAAGTTTGGCCTCTCGGTGCAGTTTCCTGTATTCAGTAAAAAACAAAACAATCTGAAAGGCAAAATTATCTAACTGCAAACATTTTTCACCAGTCTCATATAAATAGAACAGTTCTGTGTTAATTTAATTTCGGCTGCTTTGTTTTATACCCTTTTTAAAACATACGAAAACAATCTTTGTTTAAAAAAAAAAATTACTACACAAGTCCTTGAGTGCCAAGTTGTTTTTGTTTTTTTAGCACAGAAAAATCTGCCAACATTCAGGCTAATTCTATCTGACTAAAACCTGAGTCAGAGCCATATGGAAAGAACAGAGGGGAGGGAGGAAGAGGAGTCATGGCTTTTTTGTTTGTGACTTTAATAAACATTTTATAAACATTCGAGCAAAGTACAGCAGTTATGCTGCCCAGCTCAAAGAAATTTACCAAACATACCCAAAAATAACTGCATTCCAGACCATAATATTATTCTCAGATGGTGCACCACTGACGCCAACAGGAGGATCTTCCTGTAATCTGTAAAGACAAAAATGGTTTCAAAGGTTATCTAGGGCTGCAACTACACCATCTCTGTCAGGCAGAATGATCACTCTGAAGAGGTACACCAAAATAGAAATTTTCAGGTTGAAACTAAAAATATTTTTTTCTAAATCTTTTTTAAAAAAATTATATTTTATTTTTACTTTACTGTCAGGGGCTTTGGTGAAATATCAGAGGTCTAAACAGACCCCTGACATTTCCCTTTTGAAGAAGAATAAGATTGAGGACACAAAGTCCTCAATCTCTTTTTCTGCAGCCTTTGTTATGAATGAACAGAAAGCATCTATACGGAGTGCTCCTGTCGATTCATAAACTGAGGATATAGTATGAGTTACTATGTCCACAATCATGAATGAACAGGCAGGGGTGTGGAAATTTAAAGGGAAAAAAAGAAAACTACTTGTCCAAGGACTTAAGTGGGGGCCCAATCTACTTGTCCCTCATGACAATCCACATACTTGTCGTGATGCAAAAAATAATCTTAACCAAAACAACTGTACCGGCGCAGGGGAAGGACTGTTCACGGAAAGGCAAGTATAGCGGGGAAGGAGAGGGGCAAGATTTGAGCGGGTAATTTAATTTTCCCATATTACTTGATAAAGTGAACTCTGTGTGTGTTAGAGTGAGCGCTGCTGCCCAGTTACCACAATATGGCACACATTGGAATAGGGGCATCACACACACACACTGCCCTGCACGTGCCTTTATTTACATGCAGATAAAAGGGGGAAGTGGAGTTTTCATTATTTACTTAATTTTTTTTTCCACTTTTTAAAATTTGTATCTCATTTTTTTTTTTAATATCTTTTTATTGTTTTCAGAAAAAGAAAATGTGTTTCATACTGCCAAAATGTACAGGTGAAACTCGAATAATTAGAATATCGTGCAAAGTTAATTTATTTCACTAATGCAACTTAAAAGGTGAAACTAATATATGAGGTAGACTCATTACATGCAAAGCAAGATAATTCAAGCCGTGATTTGTCATAATTGTGATAATTATGGCTTACAGCTCATGAAAACCCCAAGAACCCCAAATACACAACCTCAAAAAAGTAGATTATTACATGCAATCAATAAAACAAGGATTGTACATAGAACAATATCGGACCTCTGAAAAGTACAAGCATGCATATGTACTCAGTACTTGGTTTGGGCCCCTTTTGCAGCACTTACTGCAATTACTTTTGCACGATATTCTAATTATTCGAGTTTCACCTGTATATAATTATAGCACTTTACCTATGTTTTTACAAAATAAATGAATGCATTCTTTCAATCCATCCTATATTTTTTATTCTCTTATTCTATTCTTTCTTTCCATCATCTTAATATACTTCAGTGCTATATTCTACATACATGTATAAATATCTCCCTTTATTAGAGAAAGTAAAGGGAGGTAAAAAAGGGGTACAGGAGGGGGGGTTCGGAAAGGGGGGAGGGGAGAAGGGTATATGAGGATGCATAATCAAAAGAGATTAATAAATAAATAGGAGGCATATCTTGCTTAATTAACCTTATACATTCACATAATGTTAATAGATTTTTGAACCGAGGCTAGGTGTCTCATTATCTCCATACATACTCTTCTTTACCCTTTATGTTCGAATATTCTATTTAATGTTCATCCTGTATAAAAGGTGGCCATACACTGTACAACCACCACAAGACCTTAGTCTTGCGATGGTTGTAAAGTGATTAAAAAAACGTACGATCTGCCCATCTTGGACAGGCAGATCGCACTCTCGATCATCGCAAGCCCCCCCCCCCCCCCAGCCTACCATAAAATCCATTCCCAGAGTCTCATTGTTGTCCAATGTTTGCTTAACCCCTTGATGACTGAGGCCTTTTTCCATTTTTTGCACCCTTGTTATATTCCACAATTTAGGCCTGAAAATTACTTAAAACCCCCAAACATTATATATTTTCTGAATGCCAAGACCCTATAGAATAAAATGGTGGTAGTTGCAAATTTTTATGTAGCGCAATATTAGCGCAACTCCTTATTAAGCCCCATAATTTAGTGACAAATTTAATTAAATGCCCCAGAACACAATAAAATACCCATTTTTAAAATTAATATAAAAGATGATGGTTACAATGAGTAAAACGATACCCAACATGCCCAGTTTACAAATTGCGTGCGTCCGTGAAACGGCGAATAACTGCAGTACCCCAAAAAGTCCATAGAAGACGCTTTAAAAGCCCCCACAGGTCATCAATTTTTTCTCCACGATCGCAGATCCATTGCGATACCGATCTACAGCTGCATTCCTGCTCCCGTTCAGCCGACGAGTGGCAGCCTGGCCAGCTGAGCTCTCATTGCACCCGACGGTGAGTGCCACGTTCACCAGCACAGTTCACTCTGTCCCAACGGACCCCCCAGGTACAATAATTACCAGGGAACATCTATGAACTGCCTATTGATGATGTAGCCCGCTCTTCATACCCACACAGACCGGCCATAGACACCGCTGAGCGATCCATACAGCCTTCACTCCTCAACTGCAAGACCTCATCTTGTCCGTCCAAACAGTGAGTTTTCAGTCAAATATTGATTTTAAAGTTTTCATCTGTAATACCCCAAACAAATCCCAGGGTTGTAGCGCTTCTTTCCACCCTCCTTCTTTCATATGCCTACAGGGTTCCTCCCCCTGAATAAGAAGCTTGCTCACCCCATATTGTTTTAACATTGTTTCAAAATTGTTTTAAAAAAGGTTTTAAAATTGTTCTAACATTAAAATTGGTTTTAAATATATCGAATTCCTTTACCACATTCCACAACAGTTGTGCGCTCGCCATTTTTACCGTTTTTAATCAAAACTAGGGATGCACCAATACCGGTTTTTCGGTATCGAGTACGAGTACCGGGTTTTTGCTTTCGGATCTCGCCGACACTGAATACTAATACCGGTGCTTCTGCTGACATAGAGCAGGCTTCCCTGGTAATCAGGAAACCGGGCAGCAGGTAATGACATCCCGCCCAGGTTCCTGATTTCCACGGAAGCCGGCTCAGACCCCGAAAACTACGGCGGGGGGTGCGGGCAGAAACGATCGCCGCTGCTCAAATTAATACAAGTGGTCTGATCAGACCACTTGTATTAAACGAGCGGCGGCGGCTCCACAATGTACATTCAGCTCTGCTTGTACGGAGCCGGGCTGAATGTACTTTAAAACTACTCGCCCGGCACCCGAAACTGCATGTCCCGGGCGTCGGGCGATAGGAATTCCACACCCCTGATATTGGCACTAATGTTCTTTTATAACTCAACATTGGTATGTCTGTTACGTGGAGAAGGCACGCCAATGGGTTGTTAGATACAGTTATATTCGTAATTTGTTTAATAAACTTAACCACTTGGGTCCAAAACAATTTCAGTTTAGGGCAGTGCCACCAAATGTGTAAGTAAGTGCCCACTGCCCCACATTTCCTCCAACATTCTTTCAATCTAGATGGGTGCATCTTATGCATCCGGTCTGGTGTATACCACCTAGCTAGGAAACGGAATGTCGTATCTGTCACTAGCGAGCTAATTGACAAGGCAGCGTGAGCCCTAAGGATTTGTTGTTTACGTAGATCAGTCCATTTAACCCCTTCGTGACTGACGACGTACATTGTACGTCGCCAGCATCGGGGCTGTTTAAACAGACTCCCGGTGACTTTTGCCGCCGGGACAGACAAAAAAAAGTTTTTAAATTAGATTTAAATAAAAGAAATCTAATAATAATAGAAAAAAATGTAAAAGTCCCCCGCGAGCACGCGCGTCGCCACGTAAACACGCGTCGGACCACCATTTTATTCTATAGGGTCTTGGCATTCAGAAAATATATAATGTTGGGGGGTTTTAAGTAATTTTCAGGCCTAAAATGTGTAATATAACATGGGTACAAAAAATGAAAAAAAGGCCTCAGTCATGAAGGGGTTAATTTGAAGTTCCTGTTCCCACCTCATAAGGTAATCTGGGAATAATTGGGAACTAGGACCTAAAATAATTGCATAAAGTCGTGAGATTCCATGTCTCGGATATTCTGATAAAGATAACAGTTTCTCCATTGGTAAGAATTCTCTCTCAGAGCGTATTGGTTTCGGTAATTTAGTCACGAAGTCATGCAATTGTCTGTATCTCCATGTATCAAAGGGGAAAAGTCCCCATTGATTTTGGAGTCTTTGTAATGAGTAAATATGTTTCCCATCATGAACTTGAGAAAGTTTCAATGTTTCGTGTGTTGTCCAATGCAAAAATCCGCTATTGTGCAGCCCCGGTGGAAAAAAGGAATGGCCCGTTAACGGCATCAACGGGGAATTATACTTGCCTATTAGGCCATTATACCATTTATCCCATATGTCAAGAGTATGCTCTGATAGAGGGGATATATAGCTTTCAAGGCGGCGAAATTTTGGTGGAATCCAGCAAACATTCGATAAGCTTTGTCCTGATAGTGAATTTTCTAGTGATACCCATAGTTTAGTTTTAGTGTGATAGTGCCAGTCTAACATTCTATTAAGTGCCGCTGCTTGGTAATATTTAGTAAAATCTGGTAGTGCTAATCCGCCTATATTTCTAGGCAGCGTTAAGGTTCTATGTGAAATTCTGGCTGTGGATCGCTTCCAAATGAAAAGGCCCACCACCGATTGTAAAGTGTTTAAATATGAGGTAGGTAAGTGTATTGGTACAGTTTGAAATAAGTATAATATTCTCGGTAATATATTCATTTTTATGGCATTTACCCTGCCGGTGAGTGATATAAAAGAATGGTGATTTAACCAATTAATTGTGTCTTTTTTTATAGTGTTCAGTGCTGATATGTAATTAATAGTGTAAAGGTTTGATATATTAGGGGTTAAATAAATTCCTAAGTATTTCATTTTATGTGTTTGCCAACTAAAGGGGAAGGATTTCTGCATAGTCGTTACAATATGAGCTGGGGTCGAGATATTCAAAATTTCTGATTTGGACACGTTTATCTTAAAATTAGA